ACCCCCAGCACACACAAGACTTAACAAGAAAGTGAGGACAACAGAGAAAATTGAGATGCAAGCATGAATGACCTGTCATAGGCCTAGGACTCAGGAGCATGGTGCCAGCTACTGGCAGAATCTACCCTGAGCCAGGGCGCCAAGAGGGAACAGGTGTCCCCTGGGCCTGCCCAGCACCGCTGGCTCTCGGCCTAGGCCGTGTGGGTGGGTGAGCTCAAGCTTCTGCCAGCCACGAGGCCTTCAACGGGCAGGGCCAGCCCTCTGCTCTTTCCTTCCCCTGCGCATCACATCCCCGCCTGACACCAGTTACGCAAGAGCATCTCACGTGTTGGAGCCGCGGAGGGTAGATGGCCTGTCCCCCAGGGCTCGAACCACAGGGGAACTGGGCGGCACCGGACCGTGGCTTCCCGCTCTACCTGCCTAGCCCACACAGGTCCATGCGGAGGACGGCACGCTTGCTCTGCACCCTCACCCTTCTCTAGAACTTTAACATGAGGCTAAAAGGCTCTGGAAATCTACCTTCCCACAAGCATATGCCAAAACCTCCACGCAACTCCAGAAGGAGGCATTTAGGGCTCAGTCCTTCAAACTGCCCCAAGCAGATACTTCTTTCACACACGGTCGTCCTCCCCGCAGTACTGGTTTTGGAGACTTCTGTGTTTCCTAGTATCTACACCTGGGATTTCTGAGTCCAGCGGCTGTTTCCAAGGAGGGAGCAGGAAGCACTTCTTATTCTGGGCTTTCCTTCCTAATACCCACCTGCTCAAGAACAGCCGACATTTTCTGGTGGAATATTCCAGTGAGTGCATCTACAGAAATGAGGCTGAGGTGTCACGCTGAGGCACACCCAGAAAATACCCACCACACTCAGGTTACAGAAGTACGGTGGAGCTGAGCACCAGAACCCAAGGCTGCTTAATCCCCAAACCCAGGGTATTCATCATTTATATGGATCCACGGTGCAAGCCATACGGGTGGGGAGACCCACAGTCAGAGGCAGCAGCCTCTCGCTTCACGACAGCCGGCCTCATCACTCTGGCCTGCAAAGGGGCTCTGCCTGGACAAACCACATTATGATAAAATGCAGTTTAAGATTTCTCCTGTTCATACACCACTACTTCTCTACCGCGTGTGTTCAGAGAACCTTGGGCACGTCTCTTCTGTGCACTTGCTTTTTTTCTGGGGTCTTAAGTCATTGGCAGTCTATCGCTTATACGATAAAACGGAACTTACCTGAGCGGGAGCCGTCTCCCCCAGTTCGCTGGACGCTCCCCCCACACGCTCCTGCCTCCCTAGCAGCGGGGACCAGCACCTCTCCCAGGGCCTGGAAAGGCCTCGCGGAGTGGCTGAGGGCGGAGGGGAGGGGGGCTCTGGCCCTCGTCTTTTTACCCGGGTGGCCCAGCAGCTTAACTGCCAAGGCTCTTTTATAAGACTGGGGCCTGTTCTCAATCTTCAGCCCTCTCCCCCCAGGTGTAAAATGTTCAGGACTCTGTAAGCCAATAGGTTTTCAGGAACTTTCCCTTCCAAATGGGTCGGAGAGGAGGGAGATGGGTCACAATTAGCCTAATCTGCCAGGCGGAGTGCTCGACATTTGCAATCCATCATCCCGTTTGGTCCTCAACAACCCTCTGAGGCAGGTTCCATTACTTTGCCCATCCTACCAGATACACCCAGGAGACAAACACCTCCCCCCACCGCCAGGTTACACAGGTAAAGCAGGGTGGGGCTCAGCACTAGAACCCACGTCTGTTTAACTCCAAGGCCCATGCTAGTCATCATTTATGCCGATTAATTCTGCAACAGATACGGTTGGTGATTTTAAATAAAACACTCAAGGGGCACCTGGGTGGCTCAGATGGTTGAGCGTCTGCCTTTGGCTCGGGTCATGATCCCGGGGTCCTGGGATCGAGCCTCATGACTGGCTCTTGGCTCAGCGGGGAGCCTGCTTCTCCCTCTGCCTCTCCCCCTGCTCGTGCTCTGTGTCTCGAATGAATAAATAAAATCTTTTAAAAAATTTAAATAAAACACTCAATGGGACACCTGGGTGGCTCAGTCGTTAAGCGTCTGCCTTCGGCTCAGGTCATGATCCCAGGGTCCTGGGATCGAGCCCCACATCGGGCTCCCTGCTCGGCAGGAAGCCTGCTTCTCCCTCTCCCACTCCCCCTGCTTGTGTTCCCTCTCTCGCTGTGTCTCTGTCAAATAAATAAATAAAATCTTAAAAAAAAAACAACAAAACAAAACAAAACAACTCAATAGAATTAGTATCCGTGATGGGATTTTTCTTTCAGGAGTTGAAATTTGTTCTGCCACTGACCGATTTTAAGAATGGAATTTACATGACCAAATGCACTGAGCGCACAGCAATGCTTCCGCTGTTCGAAGCGTTACTTAGATTACTATTTATGTAGCATCAATGCCTATTTCCAAGAAAATGAGCCCCACAAAAATACAGCCGCACCTTGTACTTCCGGTAGGCTTAATTGGTTTCTTAGGTTGAAATGTTATGGGGATTAAAACTGAGGTGAGACAAGACAAAAGCTTGTTTTCCAACGTGTGAGAAGTATACCTCGCAAACCAAGAGAGAAAGCATACTCAGCACGCGTTGTCCGAGCCGGGCCTTACTGAGTAGTGCAACCCTCTCCCACGGTGCGTGGCCGAGCCTCCAGTGAGCTTCTGGAAGCTGACGTGTGACAGAGCCAGAGAACTCACTGTAGCACGGCACCCACAGGACCCTCAGTTTGTACCGCTGGGATAAAGTACCGAAGTGTCTCAGTTCCCAGATCTGGTCCCATCTTACCCCCATGCCTCGCCACTTCACAGTCCCAGACGGGAAATACAACTTAGGGTGGATGTCAAAAGGAGGGAGCCAACCGTGTTCCCCCCTCACCACCACCCCCAAGAGATGAACAGTGACTCTTACGGACATTAAGGGCCATGGCTTTGACTTTACAAAGGCCTCTTCAATAAGCACGGGAACTGTGCTTCAGAGAACCCCATCCTGCTGAACTGGAACTGCGGGCCAGGCTGACGGCTCAGCTCAGCTCCGAGGCTGTCCTCGGTGTGCTGTTTCGTCCACCGTGTGGCTTTCTCACCTCAGATGTGCACTTCTATTCTAGGAATAAAGATATCACGAGGAGGGAGTACAGGAGAGAGGGGGAACCGAGCACCCCCTTGACCTAAAACCTGGGCGCTCCTTTCTGGATCCCTTCAAAGGACCCGGCTTGCTGCGTGGAGGGAGGTCCGGGCCCAGGAGGGGCAGCAGTGAGGCCGCGAGACCAGGCGCTCCCTGCGCTCCGCCCGGACTCGCCCCCTCTCCCACACCAGGGCCACCGAGCAACCCCCCCCCTCCCCCACACCGAGGCCCGGTCTGTAAGCACGGCCTGTACGTGGCGGGTGCACACCGGGAGGCCGAGGCCCGGTCTGTAAGCACGGCCTGTACCGGCGGGTGCACACCGGGAGGCCGAGGCCCGGTCTGTAAGCACGGCCTGTACGGGCGGGTGCACACCGGGAGGCTGAGGCCTGAGCAGGTCTGGCCGGGCAGCGGGGGCCGCAGGGAAGAGGCGCACCTGACTGAGGCAACGGCCCCACCTACCACGGGCGACAGATGTTCACATCTCCTGCCGGGCCCCAGACGTGATGGAGGCGGCGGAGGCCAGGCCTGCGGACTTTCTGGAGGAGGCTAGAAGTGCGCTTAAACACCTGGGTTGGGAAAAGACATCGCGGCAGGGCGGCGGTCGCATCGCATCCCGGGGCTCCCCCTCCCCTGGAATTCCATGGCCCAGAGCGAGCCCTGCGGCTTCTGGGACAAGGGCCCCAGGGCTCCGGGCACTGCAGTGGGAGCGGGAAGGAGGTGAAGCGGCCTCCTCAGCCCAGGGCTCCGGGCCCAGGTCAAGCAGCAGCCTGAGAGGAGCAGGGCCCGTGCGACCACAAGGGGACTTGGGAAATGCAAGTGGTGGTGGCATCGCAGGTGCTTCCTTTCTTTCGTTAGGAAATGTTTTAGAAGAATAACCTACAAGTTTCCTAAGCCAGGTTCTATGTGGAGTAGAAACGTATATACCGTATTTACTTATTTTCCCATGATGCTATAGTTAGAGTCAGGAAAAAGGTTAACCAGCTCCCTTTTATCAACAATGACGTGAGGGGGGAGGATCTCTCAACCACTGAAACAGTGACCCAGGACACCAAACGAGGGCGGCCGTGTTGGGGGCAGTCCTGTGTGAAAGTCTGGATCTGAGGTTTTCAGACGCGCTCTTTTGCTCTGACCCAGTTCTGCGACCTTGCACGCGTCACGTAAGCGCTCTGTGACCGAGGCCGCCGGACTTGAGGGCCTCCGACGTCTTTCCCGCTTCAAAATTCTATCTTGGAAGACACTTTCTCAAGCCCTTGATTAAAAGAAGCTTATGTTACGCTATTTCTCTTTGTTGGCAAAGAAGAAACAGATGTTCCTTAGAAATCGTTTTCGGGGGCCCTACGACTGCTTTACTGGTAGGAAGTCTCCGGAGTGACTGCGGCAGGCCGGCTCTACGGCAACGCCTCCCGCCGCGGCCGCCTTCCCAAGTAACAGCCGGCCAAAGACGACGGGCCAAGGCTTTTGCCTAAATTACCAACCTTTACTTCCGCAACCATTCAAGCATGCCCCAAGTTTAAATTATACACGTTTATTTCAATTCAAATTTTCACAGATTAAAAGATTGCATTTTATTAGAATCAATTTACAGGCAGTCTGCAGCAATGATTTCTCATGGGAAAAAAAAGAGAGACAGATGGACTTCACTGAGATTCTGGATGTGAATGGAACCTCTTCCCGCAAAACAAGCACACGGAGATAGGCCCACCAGCAGCCGGAGCTGAGTGAAGACATGACGTCTCGGGTCGCGCCCCACATGCAGGGTAAGGCTTGAGGCTGCAGGGAGCAGCTGTTCTCGGCAAGGCAGGACGCGGGGCTGCTCACACAGCACCTTCCAGACGCGCCACCGACGTGTCTGACGGCTCGCCACACTCCCGTGTGCCAACGGTGAGCACAGCGGCACGCGGGGCAAGTGCCCCTTCACAAGGGAACGAATCCAGGCAATTCTTTATGAACAGGTAAGGTTCAGAAGAAATGTTTGCTCCAAGGCACCAAGGGTGTAAAGCTTTTTAGAGAATACACAGAAACGAACAGACTGAAAAAGGGAAATTAGTTCTCAATGGAGAAATCTGCCATTACGATAACTAGCGTAAATAATTACTTCAGACAGGTCACAAAACGCACAGCGAACAGACTGTGCTGTGAGAGGGAACATCTGACCAGAGAACGTTCCCGTGGCACTTGGGGGAGCTGCTGGTACGTGCTTACGGGGTTCCTCCCGGAGCCGGAGCAGCTGTGCCTCACTTGTACTTGTAATATCCTTCTCCAGTCTTCTTGCCCAGCTTGTTCTCTGCTACCAGCTTATTCAAGGACGGGATGGGCTGAAACAAGGGGTTCTTTGCGTCCATTTCATACCACCCTATTGAGAGGAGGGAAGAGGTTGAGGACGAAGCGCTGGGATTATTCGGACACCTCAGCACCCCCAGGGCAAGGCTGGGGGCACAGCTCAGGAGAAGGGTCCCCACTCTGACGTGGCAGAGGTAGGAGGCAGCTGAGCCGGCACAGCCGGACGGGCCCTGAAGCACCCGGCGGCGCTGCTCGCGGCCCGGCTCCGCCACGGCCCGGCCGCTCACGCAGTCTCCTCCCGGAAACACGGAACCAGCTCATCTGCCGCCTGGACCCCTCAGTGGCACCGTGCAACAACTTTTGGGACACATGTTAAAAATCTGAACTTGCCGCCACTGGTAGTCTGCAGCCTCACAAAATACAAAAGTTCATGCTTCATTCAGAACCCCCCTTGCTCCCCACAAATACCTAGGCATTCTTTGTGAAACGTGGGGGCCTGAGCTACACTCAACTTCAGGAGTCCAGTTTTCATTATCATCTTTACTGTAACTTTAGAACCACTATAGTAAAGAGATACATTATTATCCTTAAAGGGGTGTAGATCTCCACGGAAGTGGAGGTTACACAAATCAGCATTTATGACGGAATGACATGGTACCAATGTCTGCTTCCGACGTGATCCTGTCCTGCGGAGCCATCAGGGGAAACCGGGTACGGGGTACACGGGACCCGGGACCACTCTGCTATCTTTGAAACTTCCTGTGAATCTATAATTGTTTCAAAATGAAAAGTTTTAAAAACAAGTTACCCTGTGGAGAGACACTAGGCAAGCACATTTCTCCTTTTTCTGCCACCTTTTAACTTGAATCTTTAAGCTGGTGGGGCAGAACTCTGGAAGGCCGACTAAGACGCCTTGAAATTTCAAATTACAAGCATTGTAATATGAAAGAAACGACCTCCATTCCATTACAGAAAGAGAACAGGGAAGTCCGGTTCCTACCGTCCATGATGAACTTTGTAGTATCCAGCCCCACGTAATCTAGAAGCTCAAATGGGCCCATGGGGTACCCAGCTCCCAGCTTCATGGCAGTGTCGATGTCCTCCTTGGACGCATCACCTGAGGACAAGAGGGCAGCACTGAGCCGTCACCATCTTTCCCGCGGTTCTCCTTGTCATACTGTTAGTCCCAGAATTCAGAGTTTTACAAGTTTGCACATTCAAAAAACATCCAGAGTCAGGATTTCTGGCTATGGTAAGTAAGATTTCATCTCAGAGGTACACGCCAAATAGACCACAAGATTTTCAAAGCTATTCCACCAAGCTATTCTGTGAGGTGAATTCTAGAGCACTGCTCCGGTGTTCACGCAGAGAGAAGGCTCCGGTGGCCTGGAAACATTAGTCATTGTTAATGGATTGGGATTTTCCAACTCTGGAATAACTTATTACAACATCACTTAAAGCTAGAGCACATTTTTATTGATAAACAGGACTTTTTTAAAACAAAAAAAGAACTAAGCTTTGTGTTTTTATATGTATTGTATGCATATTTTTCCTTTCCAGCTTTCTTGGTTTTACAAGTAATGAATATTCCTCTGGAATTACCACTCACATCACCCCTTTAGTCACGATAAAGTTTAAAAAGAAGCCCAAATCTGATTTAAAATTGCCACTCAAATTTGAAAGTGTGTTTATTAGATTAAGACACGAGCCGATGTGCTTTTTTTCCTGGAATTTTACCCTTCACTATTATGGTCCTTGGGCCCACAAGAAGTCTTTCAGAGAACCTGTTCCCTTTTTCCAAAATCAGGAATGGAAATAGTCTATAACAAGTGATCATCTAGAAATTTTGTTCCAAAGTATAAAGAAATGGTCGGTTACACCAAAGCTAAATAAAAGGAGAAAAAAGTTCAAATCCTCAAAGAGAATTTTATACCTAAACATGTATCAGATTTTTAGGCATGAGGAATAGGAACTACTTAAACATCCATAAAGACTATGTATATATTTTTAAAATTTATTTATTTATTTTAGAGAGAGCAAGAATGCAGCGGCAGAGGGAGAGAGAATCCCAAGCAGACTCTGTGCTGAGTGCGGAGCCCGACACAGGGCTCAATCTCATGACCCTGAGATCACGACCTGAGCTGAAACCAAGAGTCAGACTTTTAACAGACTGAGCCACCCAGACGCCCCAAGACTATATTTTTAAAAAGCATATGAAGTACAGTTACAGGTGATTAGAATACCAACTGATTATTTCTTGTAGGTGACTTTATTAATGCTTCACTAATTAGTCAACCAGAAGATGCTGAGAACCACAATTTTGAGTTTTAGGCCATAAGAAAGCAAAAAGAGGAAAAATCATCATATACATCAGCTTTAGGCGGCATCCTTCCTTCATTCAACTTTTATTTATATCTACTCCATACCAGGCACCAGAGACTTAGAATGAGACAGAGAAAAACCAGACAAGCCCCCAAGTACTCATGATATAGTGGGAGGACTCGGATGTGTCCAGCCACTGCTGAAGATTCATGAAGACTGACACGCCTCTGTGTGGGCAAAGGTGGAGAGATTTACTCACAGGGCTGACATTTCACCAAAACCCACCCACTGAGGCCCAGGTCCTGAAGGATGAAGAGCATCCCAAGGGATGAGAGGGCAGGAAGAGCATGCCAGGCAGAGGGAACAGCATGTGCAAAGGAGAAATGAGCAGGAACATGGCAGCTGATAAATGGATTCTGCTCCGAGGCCCTCATCTGACCCTGAGGCTTCTATGGTGTTAGAGCCCAGAATGCTAAATGACACCTCGCTTACCGCTCTCCTTGGTCAGCACCTGCTGCTCCCTGGGCTTGGTGCTGTCCCACCTCCAACATTTGACATTTGCTTCCCGCAGGCCTCTCTGCTCAGATGTCCCTTCATCAGAGCACCCTGCTCCCTCCCTGCATATAAACTAGCAACTGTAAGAACTCCAGGCGAGGCCTCCCACCATCCTCTTCACTTTATCTTTCTCCGGATTATTGGTCACAACCTAACGTGGCATCTACTGGTTCATTCACTGTGGACAACCTCCCTTCGTCAGAGTATCAGCTCCTGGGGACAGAAATCTCACAGTGTAACAGTTCCAACTTACCTAAAGCCATTTAATCAAATCTCTATTCAAGGGCAAATAATGAACCCTAGGGGCAATTCTGTAATTCCAGATTCAGCGACTCACTTGAAGACTATTTTATTTAAAAAAATATGAAGATAAAGCATATCAAAGAAAAAAAATCTAAGCAGTGTTACAAAGTCAGCAACTCTAAAAATTCTCGGTAATACAGAGCAAAAGAGACAAAAAGAGGGAGAAATAAAGCACACAGATTGGTGCGCCACATGGGAGTTAAATATGGAACTGTGCTTTAGACCACTAATTCCTAAACTTGTACAGAGTCAAGCACTTTCACTGAGAATAGGACACCTGCCTCAAATAAACTGCACACACAAAACTTCAGGAGATTCATGGGGCCTCCCACCTCTCCCCAGTTAAGAGCCCCTAACTCTAGACAAGACAACAATGAAAAGCTTCCTCCTGCACGGTGGGGATCTGGGAGCGGTGGGGGCCTGGGAGCAGCCGGACTTGTTTCTTAGGCTGGCTCATCAGCACCACCTACCCACCATTCTTGGCATTAATAACAGGCCGGGCGGCAGCCCCCACTCCCTCCTTCATCAACAGCTCCCTAAGTGCCTATCCTGTAGGAGCACTCTGGGGAAGATGCAGAGGAGACACTTCCCAGGCACCGCAAGGAAAACAGTATCCAGCAACAGAAAGACGCCCTGCCACGGGGAGGAGAGTGGCAACCACCCTGAGGGAGAGCCAAAGCGTACAGAGAGTTATAATAACACAGATGGCGACCAGCTTGGAACACTGGGGACATCAGACAGGGCCTTGTAAGAGCGGGGGGAGTGAGGTCCGTGGTGATGGCAGCAGGGGCGGAGGGGAAGGTGAGAGCAGCTTCTCTGGGAAGGGAACTGTATTCGGTAGTCTACAACAGAAACACCGAAGAGGTCTTGAGCAGAGGAATGACAGGGCGCAGGATGTCACACAGTGACTGGGGGGCAGGGACACTCCCAGGGCCTGCCACCAGCCCAGCCCTCCCAGAAGAGCTGCCTGGGACCTGTCAGGAAAGGACATCCCACAGGCGTGGCGGTCTGCTGCAGGGCGCCAGCCTGCTCAAAGATCTGGACAGAAAGCCGCAGGGACGAGGGGGACCAACTGCACCAACCAGGCCCCTGTTAGAGCATGAACACACGGGAGCCACAGAGAGCGAGGACAGAAGCTGGAGGACTGAGAAGGCAGGCCCAAGGAAGAAGCCATGAGGCCCAGGGCATCAAGAGAGCAGTGGCGAGGGGACGCTGCAGTGCCACCAGATGCCCCAGGGCGCTGGCAAGAAGCACTGGTGCAGGGCCCCCAGGCAGCCAGGGCCCCGAGCGGTGGTGACGGAGGTGACTCTGCTCTAATGCCAACACGTCCATCCGCCCGTGGGCCTCCCCCACGCAGAGTGGCGCTTTGCCGCGCATACCCCGGGCTGACAGGGTTTGCGAGAGACCGAGTATGTGTGTCCCCAGAATTCATGTTCACACCCTGCCCCCCGACGTGGAGGCTTCAATGAGATCATGAGGGTGGAGCCCCATGAGGGGACGAGGGCCCTTCAGAGAGTCAGAGAGCTTCTTGTGTCCTCTCTCTGCTCCCCGCCACGCGGAAATGCGCCGCGAAGTCAGCCGTGCGCCTCCCGGAAGAGGCCCTCACCAGAATCCCGCCATCTGGCACCCCGGCCTTGGACTTCCGCCTCCAGAACTGTGGAAAATACACCCAGTCTGCGGTGCTTGTGTTATGGGAGCCCACGCTGCCCAAGATGGTGGGCAGAGAAGTTCTCCCCGGAGAAGGAAGAGGCTGGGCAAAACAGAGTCTCAGAGTGTCTTCACTGCACCACTCTGCCGCCGCCGGGCCCCGAGACCCCCCGCCGCCGTGGCGGGCAGCATGCTGTGTCTCCTCACCCTCCTGGACAAGAGGACAAACGAACAGACAGGGCAGGCAAGGGAGAACGAATCCAAAATAGCTTCAGGAGGTTTCAAAGGAGAAGCGATGCGGTCCAGCCAGCTGCTGAGAGCAGGCACCCTGCCTCCCAGCGGGCCAGAACGGGGGGCAGCGGTGACGGGGCAAAGGGACATGGGAAGAAGCCCGAGGTAGGACGTGTGGGGTCCAGTCCCCAGTGTGCTTGCTGGGCCACAACACCCACCCCAGACACGACTCCAGCCGCTCCCGGAGCTGACGCTGCAGCTCACAGGCCCCGAGCAGCGGTGGGCAAAGAGGCAGAGGGGCGAGCCAGGCTGTGCTGTCCTGGGCAGCAGCGTGGGCAGTCTCTAAGAACACGGCCCCTGGGGCTCGGACCCCCTCTCCGGCCTCACCTCCCGGGGGGGGAACGACGGGGAGGGTCAAAGGGACCACTGCCGGTGGGAGGGGAGCAAAAGACAAGAAAATGCCTTTCCACTTACAATCAGATACAAGGTACATCTGAAAGTATATCAAAGTGACAGTATGTTTCAGTGAGGGGAGAAAAATACATTAAGGGGTGGATTACCCACATGCTACATTCTAAAACATTACATTAAAAAAAAAAAAAAACCACCCGCCTTTCAAAGTAGGGTAAAACGCTTCACGCATTCTTTGAGGTGTAATTAGGCATATTTGCTGATAGATAAACACAGAAGTGTTGGTTTGATCTTGGAGCAAAAGTGTGGCAAATGCTTCCATAAAACAGAGAGAAGTTTTAATATTTAAAGCAGATTTTGAGGAAGCAAGTGTGCTTTCATCTCTCCGGAAGAGCTGGTGTAAATATTTTGTTTAAAAAATGACATTCTCAGGAGCCACCATTTGTGAATGAAGTAATTGAAAACAATTACACTTGCTTTTTATCCAGTCCTATTAAGGCCTATCTGCCTTTGAAGCAGACATGATAGTTATCTTTCCAGAAATGTGGTAGGGAAAGGAGGCAGGAAGATACATGCCATTTTATAACCTTGGACCATGTCCCAAGTTTTATAATTTTAAAACAGGGGAAATCATTCTTTGGAAATCAACAAGTATTGACAAAAGCATGAGACCATTCTTAAGGTTAAAAAAAAAAAAAAAAAACAGGGCGCCTGGGTGGCTCAGATGGTTAAGCGTCTGCCTTCGGCGCAGGTCATGATCCCAGGGTCCTGGGATCGAGTCCCGCATCGGGCTCCTTGCTCCTTGGGAGCCCGCTTCTCCCTCTGCTTCTCTCTCTCTCTCTCCGTCTCTCATGAATAAATAAAAATCTTTAAAAAAAAAATAATAAAAAAAAAAGAAAAAAAAAACCACCATGGCCTCATTTAGTAAGGACAGGGAAGGCTCTTAGAAATAGTCATCGTCCCTTATCAGCCTTGTCACTTACTTCCCATCACCTGTCACAGAGTCACGAATTTTAGAACTTTAAGGAACTTTCAAGGTCCCTTAGTCCATTGATTTTTACATTATTATTTTAAGCAGGAAACCTTTTCATCAAAAGCAGAGATTTAGGATATAAATCTGGGCTGGCCATGCGATGGCTCTGGCTGAGACTGTAATTGGGTGTGGGGGGGTGGGTTCCAGAGCCACATCTCAGAGGCTCAGAGGCCCCACAGGGAACTCAGGGGGACCAGGGCACCCAATGACAAAGGTCCTGAGGTCCAGGGTGAGGCTGATTCACACAGCTAAACGAACCGAAGCCCCTCCCGTACTCTGCATGGCCTAGCCATTCCTACAGGGCCTGCTCAAGAACCAGGGAGCAGTGCTGAGCGCTAAGACCCGCCGCTCCCAGCCCGGCTCAGGACAGCTACCTCGTTCATACAGCCTGACCGCTTCCATGAGGTACGGCACCAGGAGACGGTTCACAATAAACCCCGGAGTGTCCTGTTGTAGGAGAGAAAAATAAAAGGCAAGTGAATTTTCACTGAACTTTATCTTCTGCCGAGTCACTAGACTGGCCCTTCTCACTCTGCATCTTACTACCCACACTTACCAAGCTTGGCATTTTCAAGATTTCTTTTGAAGTACCAGCACAGCCCTACTTCTGTGGTATGTGACAATTTACCCAACTGTAATACTTAAAAAAAAATCAAATCAAATCAAACCTAGATGCCCCCACTGCAGGAGTCCTGAAATAAAGGCAGATCGAGGCAGAGAGGTCACTGGAAAGAACGCAGCTTTGAGGGCAGGCCATCTGGGCTCAGATTCTAATAGTTGCTGACACTGGGACATTCTGAAATCAGGTTCATCATTGGTGAATCAGAGTAATAATTTCCACAAGTTGAGAAGATAACTCAGAAAACACCCAACACGCTGCGTGTAAGGCCTGATACTCAAATGGTAGCCCCTTTACTCCTCTCCTTGCCCGCATCCCTCTCAGGAATCTGGAAAAAGTACGCTCCACCTTGAACAAGGTTCACAGGAGCGCCACTGCCTGGGCTCCCCGGAGCCATCTCTGGGCTACCTGCGATGTTCTCACGCTCCAGTGTGCAGTGCAGGGTGGTCCAACTGGGTACAGGTGCCAGGGCAGACAAACCCCTGCACCCCGCATGACCCCGCTGTACCGCACACCCCTTTCAACGATTTCCTCCTCGTTACTATGCTTAATTGTCTCTCCTGGAGGCCTCCTGTGGGATTTGGATTCTACTGACTGGTCTCTCTGGGGGAATTTGTGGGGCAGGTTGGGTTGGTAATTTTTTGGTGGTATTTATGTGAAACCAATTTTCACTAAGTAAATGGTGTAAATTTTAACAAAAGGCTATGATGTTCCTGCAGACAGAACTCCTCACTCTTACCCTGGGCCTGTGTTCTCTTTCTAGCACACACTAGGCCCTCCATAAATGCACAAATGAAAGCTGGCCTGCCCCGTGCATTACTCTTAAAGCTAACCCGACTGCACGCTGGGTAAACTAGGCAATAAAGCCACAGGCTCGGTACCTCCTTCAAGTCTGGACACGCAGAGACTATGTCCTACTCCTAGCCCCACAGGAGCACAGAGATGAGCAAAACAGCTTTATCCGCTTAACCACAACTGTATTAATGAAATGATGTCCACTTTATATCTAGGGCAAAAGTGCTTTTCAACCTCAAAAAGGTTATCGCAGAAACTCAGGACAGGGTAGATGAAGCACACATATACAAGGTTAGAAGTCAGAAAGTACTCTGGGGAAAATGTTTGCTCCAATCAGAATACGTGGAGTTTTATACAGTCGATATCATCTACAGGGCTCAGTAACGAAAAAGTGTTCAAACTCACAAAATATTCAAACTCACTAGTAATCAGAGAAGTACTCATTAGAATAAAATAGGATTTTGCCAATAAGATTAGTGGCAAAAGGGTTTTTCCCCATTATGCTAATATTCAATGCCACTGATGAGTCAGAGACGCATATACTCTCACGATATTGGTATGTAAATTGTAAAGAAACATAGTCCCTTAATAAAGCAATTTAATTTTATGTAATCATATACCTTATATTTTCATACTCATTTGTTTATTAAATATACTTTATTTACTGTACCGTGTGCCAAGCACTGTTCTATGTACTTTACGAATATTAATCCATTTACTCCTTATGATTAACCCTGTGAGACAAGCACTATTATTACCCTTACAGGGGGGAGAGGACACTGAGGCCCAGACAGGTTAAGTAACTTGTCCAAGATCACACAGCTAACAGGTGCCAGAGCCAGGATGTGATCCCAGTCACACTGGCTCCAGAGTCCATGGTCTCACCCTTTTTATACCATGCTCTCCTCAAGAAGTCTCACTATGAAGAAAGACACGTTCCGGGTGCATTGTCATCTGCTATGTTGCGTGTTGGTCCACTGCGATCCTGCAGGCCAAATCCAGCCCCGGCCTGCTTCTGTACCATTCCACCACCATGGCACAGCCACGGGCTCCGCGTGTACCGTCTATGCTGCGCATCGCCCCCAACAGCAGAGCCGAGTAGTTAGAGCAGAGACCGTATACCCAAAAATGCTGACTATCTGGCCCTCTACAGGAAAGCGTGCTGACCCTTGTTCTTTGTGCTTGCCTTCCATTGTCTGGATCCTTCATGGAGAGCCTGAATAACTAACCCAGAGAGCTTGCAGGTATCACCCAGGAAAGAGTTCTGAAATGATGTAACAAGGCAGTTTTATGAGACCAGGGAGTTCCCATTCCTGCATCTGCTGGGGCCACTCCAGTGGAACTCTCTATGAATGAATGATTATGCTGCTAAAGACAGTCACTGCCTGTCCCCCGCATTTCCACTTTCTTATCTAGCTTTCGATTCACTACACACTGATGCTCTTTCTCATACCATTACTACTTTCTGCCACGAACAAAGCATAACCCAGTGAGAAAGTGCAACATCTGGTTATTAATGTGACTTTTAAAAAAATCCAATTTAAAACCACTAAACAAAACAAAGAAAGAATGAGTGCTACAACACAAGACTCCCTAACACTGCTCCCCTTCTGGACCGGGGGGACAGGCACGTGAGTCTGCTCTCTCAAGGTACGGGGGCCACGCCGACAGATGACTTAGTCAGAGGATTCATGAGCAATAGGCCTTTCCCCAGGTTACTACAATACTGTGAGTTCAAGGTGGAGAATATTTTAGAAAGCAAAAGCATTCTGTAAGAAGAACCACAATGACAGAAAAGATTATGGTCAAAAAGGTAGATGCACACATATAAAAATTTTTAACGGTAGGGCACAACTGCCCTTCTGAAAAAACTGCCAAGTCATGCAGAGGAGGAGTCCTGAGTCTAGGGAGGACTAAAGAGGAGCTATGGCCAACAGAGACGGGAGGAGAGCGCCACCGCAGGCGACAGCAGCTGGGGGCATTTCCCATATACTAATGGAGTACGGCAAGAAGGGAAGGTGGGAGGCATGCTGCCCACTGGGCCTTGCTTCTTAGTGGAAAAACAAGACACAAAAGCACAATGCCACACTCCCTGAGAAACAGCTTCACTAATCCCACCTGGGGAAGTGGGAGCTTCCTCTCTCTCATCATTTCCTTAGCCACCTGTCATGCCTTTTCCCAAAGTGAGGCGCTGGTTTTCAGTTCGGGACGCACGTGTCTACCACACTGTCGCTGACACGCAGGCTCCCAGGCTCCCCCAGGCCCAGCAGAGGCTAAAGCCAATGGGGTCACAAAAACCATTTATGGAAACACAGCAGCCCAACAACAGACAAAAGCCAAGACCCGGGGAGAAGTTTTCTACTCAGCCGAAGCTCTGGCTCTCTTCAGATCTCAAAGGGTCCACCCAATAGCCTTGGGCAAGGGTTAGGGTCTGGCTCCCCTGCTGGCAAACTAGAAAAGAGGCCCCACGTGCTCTTCCCAGCCCCCAGACAGGCCTGAGGTGAGAGTGCCTCATCTCTCACATCTTTCTATAGAAGAATTCTACCCCAAATAAGTCAGTTCTAAGGAAAACCACCCCCTTCCCAAGGTACCTATACTCTACCTTACAAGAAACAGGATGCTTTCCCAGGGCTCTGGTGAAGTCTATCAGAGATTCGTAAGTCTTCTGGCTGGTCATTGGTGTTTTAATGACCTGGAAATGCAAAGCAGAGAATTATGACCAGAGAGTCAGCAAACAACTGAAACAGAACGATTCAAGAAAACACTGATGTAAAGTGTCTACACAGAAGGTGGCAAAAATAGTTTTAGTTCCAGAATACAAGGATCTCAAAGCCAGAAACAAAGAGTTTACCAAAACGTCCACTTTAAGACAGTGAAGTACTAGGGGCGCCTGGGTGGCTCAGTGGGTTGTCTGCCTTCGGCTCAGGTCATGATCCCGGGGTCCTGGAATGGAATCCCGCACCGGGCTCTCTGTTCAGCAGGAAGCCTGCTTCTCCCTCTCCCTTTGCCCCTGCTCGTGTGCTCTGTCTCTCACTCACTCTCTAATAAATAAATAAAATCTTAAAAAAAAAAAAAAAGACAATAAAGTACTACAGAATGTACAAAATCAAGGCTTAAAATATAAATGTGTATGTGTGTAGGAGAGTTTTACAGACTTTCTTCCCAAAACAGACCTGGGTTCGAATGCCCATCACACCACTTACTGGCTCTGTGACCCTGGGCACGTTTCTTGAAATTGAAATGACACTGAATTCACTCTCCCCACCTCAAGCAGCGGATTAGATCAGGAGGTAAAGCATCAAATGCAGCTGCTAGGAGGTATAAAGTGCTCAGGAATTGCTAGCTTTTGTTACCATGTTACTTGCTACCATAACTGGAAGTAACTGGATGTCTACTGAGTATGACAACCGCCCTTAAAGTGCTCTGCCTGGAGGACCATCTTCTCCTAGTCTAAAGGAGGAAAACAGAATGATCTGCCCAAGTCACAGGTCTCTTGGACACCGAGACGAGTATCCCCCAGTACTCTACCCTCTCCCACGCAGATGCCCCTAAGCCCACTGACTCCTTCACGTCAGAACAGGCTCATCCCACAGAGGAAGGTTTTCATTTCCAGCACACAGGGGCCCCAGGCTAGGCATACCACCTGCGGGCACCTGGGGAAGGCTCCTGGCAGCCCCTTGGACCCACGAGGTGCGTGCAAGCAAGCAAGCAAGGGCTGCCCTGCTCCCAGAGGCCCGCTGCCACTCCAGGAGGTCACACCAAGCACGTTGCCTGGCAGTCAGCCTGCAGGACACGGAAAGCTCACCTGTCAGGAACTAGATTTTGGCAAATGGACAGAGACCCAGGTGAATTTAAACTTAAATAGATATATAATTTAAATGCCAGTTAAGGAACTTCGATGAGGGTCAAAGCAAACAGGCTTGGCTTCTACATCAGACCCTTTATATGAGGTGAGACAACTCAGTCAACCCCCGTGCCTCACCCCTCTACTCTGAAATGGGGATGATACTTGCCACGTTCTCCATCTTGCAAGAGGGCTGTGTGGCTTAATGAGCTAGTGTCTATGCAGGATGAAAGGTGCTATATAAATGAAAAGAATTATCATCATCCGTCTTTATTGTGATCACAGTTTGCGGTGTGGTGGTATGTTATGACACTAAGGGCAGTGAATGAGTAGCACGGACAGAAGCATCACGGAAGATGCGGATGAGGAATGGGAGGAGATGGACCAGAAACTGCTCTGCAAACCCCATAAATCAAACAGCAATCCAAGAGTTATTCAAAAGGAAGTGTGAAAAGGTCTCCAGCAGAACCCCACAGATTGAACTAGGACAAAGGTTGCTAATTACAGAGTTTCAAATATAATTTGTTGATTTAAAGGAGTCAATAGTGAAGATTTTTTAACAGGAGAATGCCTGTTTATTCATCCATTCAACAAACAGCAATGTGCTACAGATATTCTGTTTATAGCTCCAATACAGTCCGAGATAAATACATATACACATACGTGTGCGTCCCGTCCCGAATAAAGGAGAACTGCTCAACTTACGTATGTGAACACCCAAGAATAAAAACTGAATAAAGAGCACTTTTAGAAGACATTTTCTAGAAAATGGTAACATTTGCTAAGCATTAGCTGTTACCGACCAACGGGCCACTTTCTCAAAGACATAGACCAACACTATTACATAAAAGCAGTGGAAAACAGCACTGGAGTTTGAAGTAAATGTATCCAACGTGTCTTTATCTCCAAACACACGTACCTGACACAGTAACTAAGGAAAGTGATTAGTCCCTAAGCACTGAAATGTTGAAAATTCCCCATCCCGCTTCTTTGCTTTTCTCTGCATAAAGATAAATGCAGTTTCTTTCATTCCCCCCCACCCGTCCCCTTTATTCCTCAACTTCCTCAAAACATCCTTAGGAAGTGAGAGTATACTGCAGGAAGCTGAGGAGCAGTGTTAGCAGACCAGATAAATTCCTATCGCAGGTCAGAGCTGTCTTTCAGAGAAAACTAGGGAAATACAGTCACCATTAAACCAGAGGCGAATGCTTATGCGGGGGCGGTAAGGGGGTAAGGGCATGAGAGACGAACGACAGAAAGGGCTGACAGAGGCACCAGGTGGAGAAAGCAAAGCCCGAGACTCTCCCAGGGAGCCCTGGCCAACCCCCGGAGGTCTGCCCGGCCCCGCGTCCCCCACACGTCGCACGGCAATAACTCTTCAAGCCCAGAACAAATGCTACTTTAACAGCGGCTGTTCCTCAGACCCTGTCATTAGCCCCCTGTAAAAGGCGAGCTGCCACATTCCAGGTGCAAACTGTCTATTGTGACTCGTCTCCCCGTACCCAAGTCTCCAAGCAAGCAAGCAAGCAAGCGGAAGCGACCCAAACAGGACCACTGGGGGCCCCACTCCCCTCCATCTCAGAGGTCTGCGCTCAGGAGGTTCAGGCTACAAGGAGCTGCTTTAATAGCTGGCATCAAAATACACGGGCAACGCGCCCCAGCTGGGGACAATACCTGGGCCAGAATTCACCCGGCGACGGTGGACAGGGGGTACGGTGGCTCCTGTGTAAGAGCAGGCCGATAAGGTCCCACTCACAGCCTGGGGCACACTGACCTCACCGAGGCCGTATCGACACGTGTGGCTCTGGCCTCTGCGGTCTCAGCGAGCCAGGCATCTGCACTGCTGTCTTCCCAGTCAGACACTCTCCCTACACCGCCCGCCCCATATGGCACAAGTAAGTGAATGACATTCCACAGAGTTAGCAGCCCTCCTGGCCATCACTGGTCAGACCACTGGGCTGCGAAGAAACAAAGCACAGAGGCCTCCCTAGATATCAGGGGCTCTTTCTTCTCCTGGCTCCAGAAAGACAGTGTGGCCCAAGAAACCTTCCACCCTCCCGTTAAAATCCGCCCGGCGCCCCCACCCCCCCACCCCCCGACGGCAGAAGGGGCATGAGTCAGAGAGCAGGCCTGGCAGAGCTGGCCGGGCAAGCAGACACACAAGAGCACATGCCCACTGACCTCCACCAGCTTCATCAAGGGCACCGGGTTGAAGAAGTGGAGCCCGGCGAATCGGTCCTGTCTCATGGTGGCGTTGGCTATGTTTGTGATCTGCAGAGAGGAAGTGTTGCTGGCAAAGATCGTGTGTCTGTGGAGAGAAAGACGGTGAAGTATCAGGATGAGTCCCCTCTTCAGAAACAAACAGGACTACCCTCGATGCAATGCACGAGGCCACTGCCTACTGCCCAGATCTATTGTCCTGACCCCTGGAGGAAGTCAGGGAAGAGAACTTCACAAAGAAGCTGAAATCAAGTGACCAGTTTCATTTCAAGTTTGAATCTTTAAGTTAGATAATTTAAACTTACCTGTTTCAAAGGTGTATTTAATCTTTACCAATCTTTCATTTACTTTCAGGAGCCACATTTCTCTACTTATATTTGTTAATTTTCATGGTATGTGGGGGAAAACTGAGGTTAAGTAGCAGCCTCCGTCACAAAATGAAACCCTAAGTGAGCACAGACTAATGACGGAAAGGATACACCACAGACCCTCAAAGTCAACAAAAAACTGTAAAGAACTAAGATCTTTTCCCCTCAAGTGAAAAGCTTTAATCTTCTACTGAATGGGAAGTAAAATGAAAACAGAAGAAAACCAACACAGTCCAAAAACAGTTTTAAGGTTACACAGGTAGATCTGGGGAAGGAAGGATACATGTACATCTACGATAAATGTAGTTCAAGGTATTCTGCTTATAAAATCTCCTTAAGTAGGGGCGCGGGGCGCCTGGGTGGCTCAGTTAGTTGGGCGACCGCCTTCGGCTCAGGTCATGATCCTGGAGTCCCGGGATCGAGTCCCGCATCGGGCTCCCTGCTCGGGGGGCAGTCTGCTTCTCCCTCTGACCCTCCCCCCTCTCATGCTCTATCTCGTTCTCTCTCTCAAATAAATAAAATCTTTAAAAAAAAAAAGTAAATGAGAAAACTGCTGACTTTAAAAAAAAACCAGGGGCATCTGAGTGGCTCAGCTGGTTGAACATCTGACTCTTGATTTCAGCTCAGGTCATGATCTCAGGGTTGTGAGATTGAGCCCTGCCCGGAGTTAAGATTCTCTCTCTCCCTCTGTCCCTTTCCCCCAGCCCCACTCACTCTCTAAACAAAACAAAACAAAACAAAAAAAAAAAAGGAGGGGAGCCTGGGTGGCTCAGTCATTAAGCGTCTGCCTTCGGCTCAAGTCATAATCCCGGGGTCCTGGAATCAAGCCCTGCATCGGGCTCCCTGCTCTGCAGGGAGCCTGCTTCTCCCTCTCCCACTCCCCCTGCTTGTGTTCCCTCTCTTGCTGTGTCTCTGTCAAATAAACATATAAAATCTTAAAAAAAAAAAAAAAGGTGGTTAAGCGACTGCCTTCGGCTCAGGTCATGATCCTGGAGTCCCGGGATCGAGTCCCACATCGGGCTCCCTGCTCAGCAGGGAGTCTGCTTCTCCCTCTGACCCTCTTCCCTCTCGTGCTATCTCTCATTCTCTCTCTAATAAATAAAATCTTTTAAAAAAAAATCTCCTAAAAAAAGCAGTACCATCTTTGTGTGTATGTGTGTGTAAAATATTATTTAAAAACACATATTAACTTTATCCAAATTCAATTTTTAAAGACCACCACAAAGTGGGGTGCCAAAGGCATTACCGGCAAATCTTTAAACAAAGACAAGCAAGACTTAGGCTGTCCTATAGCGCCACCTTGTGGGTACACATACATAAAACAGCCTGACGCTAAGGAGAACCATCATGGCCCGGTCAGTGCAGGAAGTGGAGTGATCCCTTACTGACCAGATGTGGGAGTTCTAGCCTACCCAAAAGGCAATGCGACAATCTGCCTGAAATCAGGGATGAGCGGGGGAGGAGGGGTCGGGAGAAGAAACATGAGTGTGGCTGACACAAGCACCGTCGGGCTGCACGCCATGAACCCCAGCAGCCGGGCCACGGCGCCCCAGCGCTGTGCTGGCAGGGGCTGCTACACGCACAATGTGGCACCGTTTTATAGGACAATGAAAGGGCGACTTGCCTGCAGAGAGGACAGATGTGGAGGCACACTGGAGAGCACATTTCGTTAAAAGGTGAAGTTACATCAGAGCCCAGTCCCGGGTGTCTCCAGTCCAAGATGCTCCCAGCAAACATTTTACCAGCAGGGGAGAGATGCCTCTTGCTCACAGACCTCTACCTCCCCCTCTCCCAATCGGCTGGGCTGGCTCTGCTCCTGACAGCTCTCACACTGGCGTCTTTCTACACAAACACAATGTGCCAACATCCTCAACTTACAGGGCTGCCTTGTCTTCCACAGAGAAGTACACCCTCACGTTCTCCTTGGGACACTGGACTCTTGGACGGTCTGGTTTTTCCCTCTCTGACACTCAGGGACCCACAACACTACCATCCTCTTAGATGTACTAACAGAAAATCGACAGCACAAACATGATGATCCTTGGCCACACCCACAAGCCTCAGTGCGGAGAAGACAAGAGGGGGTGGTGGGGACTGTCGTGGATGGGACTCAGCTGGGGCTCTCTGTGAGCCATGGCCCCCCTCTTCATCTGCACTGCTTGTAACCGCAGCCAGGGAAGTCGTGTTCTTTTCCAGGGCACATCAGGGGCGCCGCTGGGAACTTCACCACTAGAACACATTCCCCTCCCCTGTTACAGGAGTCGCCGTAGAACTTAACAGTCAAGGCTATCTCACTCAAGCTACTTAAAAAAACAAGCCACAAAACTTAGCAGGGGTTCAATAATGGTGGTGATCTAAGGTGAAAACAAGAGTGTAGCAAAGGGCAGCTGATGGCCAGAAGCAAGGTCACATCCATGGTGTGCCTCCTCTGGTGTGCTCTGTCATGTGTCTCAGCTGTGTGACATGAACCTAAGTGAAAGAGCCTAGCACAGTGCCTGACACACAGGAGGCACTCGGGAAATTGAGCGAAGTTAAATTAATATCCTAAATAACTCTGTGCAATAGGTACCGCTACCTCTATTTTGCAGATTACTAGGGAAACTAGTCTTCAGAGAGTCAGAACTGGGAAGGTCTTGGAAATGACTTACTCCTAACCCCCCAGTCAAATTACAGATGATAAAAACTGAGGATCAGAAAGGCTTCATGACTGTCCATGGACAGAGAGGGAAGAGGTGGGGCCACCTGACTTTCCCCTAACAGTCCTTCCATTACTCACGCAGACATGAGAGGGCAGTCAGACCTGTCACTGTCACTCAGGAAAGACCGACATTTCAATAAAGGCCAAACTACCCGGGGTAGCGGGGGGGGGGGTTTATTTTAGAGGGCTCCCTGCTCACCTGGGAGCCAATACCTGTACCATAGAGTCTTCTGTTTCTGCAGGCCCTAAACGTCGGCATAAAGACCATGAGCACACCCATCAGCAGAGTGACATGGAGGTGACAGAGGGGCAGGGCTTCTCAGACACCAGGCCATACAGCTATGAGGGCTGACGTTCCAGCAGGCTGGTATGTGAGTATCCCTCTTCAGCCACTGCTCACTGGCTGAGAATTACTTCTGTCCTATAATCTTAGTCTGACTTTCAGTTCTAACTAGGAAGGGTGAAGTGAGCCCCAGGGAGAGCAGAAATAAATCAGCCGCATGTCACAATTGCCAAAAGCCGAAAGTCAAACACAAACGAAGGCTCCGGATTCTGAGAAAGGGAGCAGCCTGTGTGCAAAAGCTTACTGACGCTTGTTGGCACCGCCGGTCCCAAGTTCCAGGCACCCATATGCCCGACCTGCGTGGGGCTGACTCCCACCCTGTGCCAGGAAGCCTGGTAAGAACTCAGTGCTCCTGAAATGCTCCCAAGTGTTGTGACTTCATCCAGATAAAGCTCAAAACAGGAAAGCCCAGGGAACTTTGGGTAGACAGACAGGCACTCCCTGCAACTGCACCATTCTGTAGCTTCCACTCAAAAAAAGGGGACACACAAACGACTCTGAGGTTCCTCAGCAGACATGTGAGGACGTACCCAAGCCTCTTCATCCTCTGGCCCGGGAGGGCCTGTGGCCCAGACACTGCGAGAGACACAGGACTGTCCCTGAAAGGACCCCCCACTTTACTGTGGGAAATCCCACCTCCTTTGGGGACAATGATCAGATGAAGGCAGCCCAAGCCTTGGGAAGCAGCCTGGGAGCGGGAGGAGAGAGGACAGAGGAAACAGTGTCTGTCTTCTGGAAACAGCTTTGGGGCAGCAGAAAGAGAAGTGGGCTTGGTGTCAAAAGACTCCCTCCTGGGAGGAGAGCCCGAGCCCGGGGAGGGAGCCCTCAGACCCAACAAGAACGCCCAAGGGTCACGTACTCAGAGGCAAACTTGTCCAGCCTCTTGAAGAGCTCGTTCTTCACCTTCAGATTCTCCACGATGGCCTCCACCACCAGGTCCGTGCTGTGGACTACAGATGCTGCGTCCGTGCTGGTTGATATGCTGCTCAGGGTCTTCTCCACAAATTCATCACCCGCCTGACAGTGGAAGGAAGGGGGAAGAGAGCATTCACTGGACCCACCGGAAAACAGTGTGTGATCTGATGCTAAGGCAGAAGGAGAGAGGGGGGCGAGGAGAGGCGAACTTGCAACTCGGATGCGCCCGGGAATTCTAAGCACTGAAACTCCCTACGTGTCTGCTTCTCAGGACCTTCTAGACACCAGGGCAAGAATCAGCTTGCGAACATGCCAACTGCTGGTCAGAGATCACTGTGGCGTCCGGGCCGTACCCCTTGACACTGTCCGTCAGCTCTGCCCAGCTACCACGAGGTCCTCTTGCAGAACCTGTCTGGCCGGCTAGCTCTCCGTTCTCACTGTGAACACACTGCCACGCGCTGTGGCAGGAGACAGGTCCCGAGATAGGACCTTCCAGAAGCGAGGACAAGCTCAGCTCAGCACCACTCGTTAGTCCAAGAGGAGGTGCTGACTGTTCATCGCTAAGAGAGGCAAAGGAGAGCTGAGCATGGGCAAGAGAGGACGCGCGCCCGACTTAGCAGTCGTTCCGCAGGTAATCACCGCCCGTCACAGGCTGGCTCCGGGGCTTGCAAAAACTCGCCAGACATAGCCTCTGCTGCGAAGGGCTCGCAGTCCCACCTTTGCCTCATCTGTGACTCCAGGATTCCACAAACAGACCTCAGTTAGGGCTGAAGACAGCACCTCTATCAACTGCCATTTTTATCTCAAGATGGACTCTGTCCCCGGGGCATCAAAATGGTCATTGTCAGCAAAGGCATCAAAAACCACTGCGGAATAAAACAACTCTCAGAGCTGTTCCACAGAAATATACCATGAGGGCATAGGTGATTTTCAATTTTCTACTGGCTGCAGTATAAAAAGTGAACAGGTAAAGTTAATTTTGTTTAACCCAATCCATCTGAGGTATTATCATCTCATCATGTAATCAATACAAAAAGCACTGAGATGTTTTATGTTCTTTTCTCCTAGTAAGTCTTTGAATTCCGAGGTCTGTCCCACACCTGTGCCCAGCGGCCGCTGTGCTGGTCGGTGCGAACCAGGCACGTCCCTCCTCCACGCACACGCCAGGCGGAGACGAGCAAGGCCAGAGAAGAGGCTCCTGAGGACTCACTCATCAGGAGTTGTGCATCTTGAGCACAAGCACCTCGTGTGTTTGTTTGTTTGAAACCCTCTGAGTGGGGCCCAGGGCCTGTGCCCAAAGGGGCAGAAGTTTGCAGAGTAAACACATGAAAAATGCAGATTACCTGGGTTCAGACTCACTCTGTCCTCGACTCCAACCTCCAGCCCAGGGCTCTTAAAATCCCACCTGCCTGGACCCTCTTCACAACATGCCCTATCTCAGGTCCCCCTGTCGTAAAGAATATGGACAGGTGACAGAGATGTTAATCTGCCTGTGACATTTCGTGTCTGGATTTCTTCAGGGAGAGGGTAAAAATTAACTCTACTCCTGCCCCTCTGATTTTTGAAAGGTGACTACATATTAAGAAAATGCAAACCAAAACCACAGCCAAGATACCACTTCACACCTCCTCTGATGGCTATGATGAAAAAAATGGAAAACAAGTGTTGGCCAGGATGTGGAGAAACTGGAACCTTCACATACTGCTTGTAGGAATGTAAAATGGTTTAGCCACTATGGAAAATAGTTTGATGGTTCCTCAAGAAGCCAAATACAAGACTGTCATATGACCCAGCAATTCTCCTTCCAGTACACACGTGAAAGAACTGAAGAAGGACCTGGGCAGACAGTATATCAACGTTCAGTACAGCATTAGTCACAATGACCAAGAGGTGAAATCCACCCAAGTGTCACTGACACAAATGGCTAAACAAAATATAGTCTATACACACAATGGAATATTATTCAATCAGGAAAAAGAATGAGGTTCTGACACACGCTACAACCCGGATGAACCTTGGAGACAGTACCACATGACATTCATTAGTCACAAAAGGACAAATATCCTGATTCCAGTTATACGAGGTCCCTAGAAGAGCCAAATTCAGAGAGACAGAAAGTAGATTCGAGGTTACCAGGGGTTGGGAGGAGGAGAGAATGAGGCATTATTGCTTAATGGGTATAGAGTTTCTCTTTGGAAAGATGAAAATGTTTTGTAAAGAGTGGTTATGGTGGGGCGCCTGGGTGGCTCAGTCGTTAAAGCGTCTGTCTTTGCCTCAGGTCATGATCTTGGGGTCCTGGGATCCAGGCCTGCATCGGGCTCCCTGGTCCCCGGGGAGTTTGCTTCTCCCTCTCCTGCTCCCCCTGCTTGTGCCCTCTCTCTCTCTCTCTGACAAATAAAATCTTAAAAAAAAAAAAAAGTGGTGATGACTACACAACAGCATCAACGTAATTAGTCACCAAATTGTACCCTTAAAAACAGTTAAAATGGCAAATTTTACATTACATATATTTTACAACACAAAATTTCAAAACAGAAGAGCCACACTGCTATAGATACCCGAGGTGACCAACACAACAAAAGCCCCCCCTTGCCCTCTTCTCTGCCCGTATATGAAGTGAAATTCCATCCAAGCTCCAAGGAGATCAATCTTTACGCAACTTTAAGAAGGTGGCAAAGGTAAGCAAAAATTCACTTGGGTGATTTCCGCAGTATTTCTAATTAAACGTGAAGGTCCATTGAGAAAGGGTCAGTAAACCAGAGTTGCCGCCGGCCTTCTGGGAGTTCCTCGAGCTCCCCTACCCCCTCTGCTGCTGGGAGTGAGAACGACACTCTGTATTTCCCTCTCCCATAACTACAATATAAATGCGTGTAAGATATTACCCAAGCAATCAAGATTTTCTATCTAAATGCAATGTTTGTTATATCATTCTCTTTTTAACTTGCAAATACCAAAATTCTCTTCCTGTTTCGCTCTCTTCCACCCATATGACAAAATAGGTGTTCTTCAATCCCAAATTCTCCATGGACAGAATGAGTTCACTACCTGCAGAAACCTTCTCCCCTACCTCAAAACCTACCCAACAATAGGGTTGTTTACTTCTCCTGTTTTGTACTCAGTCCTCACAGAATGTTCAGTGATTATGTTATTCATGCTGGTCTAAAGTTATGGGAAAATGAGCTTTACTCAACAAACCGAAAAAGCAAGCAAAGGCCACTAAATGTGTTATGTTCAGAGGATGGGTCTTGAGGTCATGTAAAACAAAACATTACCTTGGGGTTTTCTGCAAACTTCTTCTTGGCCACTTTCCTAAGGCTTTCCTCAATCCCCTTTTTAGATTTTGCCAGTATGTCCTCTGTCTGGTCCACCAACACTACTGTGTGACCAGCTGCTCCAGCAACCTGGGGCAAAGAAAGAAAGAAAGGGAACGTACAAGTTAAAAAAAATAGTAGAGTTTCATATCCCATATGAACTCTGCCACCATTCTCTTCCAAATACCGAGGAAACACCACAATAAGGCAACCTCAACTAAACACACACTTCTTGCCAGCCACACACGGACGACGAATTCTCAGAAGCACCTTACGATAAAGGTTAAGAAGTATGTGCACCATCACACGACAGGTAGGCAGTGGAGCCGGGATGTGAATCAAGGCTATGAAAGCCACAGCAGAACTGCTTCCCAACTGTCCCACAAGGGAGCCACCAGCCACATGTGACTACTTACATAAACTGAAATTGAATAAAATGAAAAAACCAGTTCCTCAGGTGTACTAGCCATAGTCCAAGTGCTCAACAGCCCATTCACAGGGCATTTACTCCCCACCCACCTCTTTTTTCCTAAAAATTGGAGCATCCTGTGCAGCTCGACTGCTTAGCTCATCTCTTCTGTAGTCCTTAAATCAGCAACAGGTAAGACTTTCATAATGGTGCCAAAAAGATTCCAAGGGCCGGGACACCTGGGGGGCTCAGTCGGTTAGGTGTTGGGACTCCTGGTTGGGGTGAAGTCATGATCTCAGGGTCGTGAAATCGAGCCCAGTGTAGGGCTTCACGTGGAGTCTGCCTGAGATTCTCTCTCTCTCCCTCTGCCCCTCCCCCCACTCATGCACATGCTTGTTCTCGCTCTCTCAAATAAATTAAAAAGAAGATCCCAAGGACTACTTAGTGGCATGGCTCCCATGAAAGTAGGTCTCTGGTGACCAGCCAATGAGGAGGGCAGTTCCCCATCCCGCCTTGGCTAAAATTCGGAGGGTATACATAGGTGCCACTGCCCCAAAGTTCACCTGGAGCCAGCTCAGTTTAGCCACATTCAGCGACAAGCCAATCCCTTTTTCATCACAATTTGCCAATAGCTTTTGCAAGGATTGTGGAACAGGTAGTGTGGCTAAAAGTAGGTCACCAGGTCACATTACAGGTAGGCACTGGACTCAGTTCAAGCCGCACGCAAGAGGACATGCAGCCTACCACAAACACAAGTGATCCAGGATGCCAGCACGACTGAGATGCCCCTCGGGGTCCGAGGAGGCCCCCGCAGAACCACCCCTCTGGAAACATCTGTGGATCAACCGTGTGTAGGAGAGGGAAACCTTAGCTGAAGTGAACCTGCCCAGAGAGGACAGCAAGAAACCGTTCTAACCCACCGTCGTGATGCAAGGCTGTTGAAAGTGGGCGACTCAGATTCCAAACTGAAAACCGGAGAGGAAAAGTAACAAAAGAGGAAAACTCAAAGGCAAAGAGGTCCAAATCCCTGAGCCAAGATTTCCAAAGAATACTTAAAAAAATTGTAAGATGGGTTTGAACTGGAAGTTAAGTACAAGAGCACCCATGGCTTCTCCCTGAGCAATCTTCCCTAGAGAGGCTGCAAGTCTGAGCCTGTGGACCTGTGGGCAGGGGAGCCAGGCTGCCGGTGCCCCAGAGCCCACCTGGGGACCAGGACAGAAAGGTCTGCTCCGGCCAGCTGGGTAACAGCTGTAATGAGAGTTATCCTGCCAAAAGGACAGAGGCAGTGAACTTGCCCTGTTGGCAGAAACACAGGCTGCAAGCAGGCAGCGCGGCCCACGTAAAACACCCATCCACCCAGAGCAGGCTCTCTCCCCGAGGAGCAACAGACCGAGGCCCAGCTTGCCAACACCTCCAGCACATGACACGAACTGGCCCCCTCACGCATTCCGAGTAAAACAAGCATGAGCACATTTAGAAACCGTGCGCAGAAGGTGACACAGCAGGCCCGAGACTGTTATCTTTAGAAAGGCCCTTGGCGGGGCCCCGGAAACTCAGACTGGGAGAGAGTTCCCATCCTTTCCCGAGAGGAATGGCTCGCTGTGCCTAAACCACTCATGCGCTGTGGTCTCTGCTGCACACCTGCTTTCCCTCCAGGGCTCAGGAATTGGGCAGTGTGCCAGGCAGAGGGTACCTGTGTGACCAGCCCCAATAAAAACCCAGGGCCCTGGGTCTCCAGTGAGCGTCCCTGGTAGGCACTCCACATGTGCCATCACAACCTGTAGCTGGAGGCGCTGCATGTGTCCTGTGTGACTGCACAGGGAGAAGACTCTGGAAGTGGCCCGACTCTCCTCCAGACTTTGCCCCTTGCACCTTTCCCTCTGTTGTTTTTGTTTTGTATCCTTTTGCTGAACTAAACTGTAGCCATGAGTATCATTATATGCAGAAACACAGCCTACCACAGCCTACCACAGTTAGGGTCCCCTAACTAAATCACCAAACCTGGAGGGGGCGGGGGGATTTGGTGGATAATCCTGACACAGAAACTAAGAAAACAAATCTCAAATTCCAGATGCAGTTTAGTTGAAATTAAAATTATTTTGAGGTGGGGTTGCCTGGGTGGCTCAGTGGATAAGCGTCTGCCTTTGGCTCAGGTCCTGTGCTCGGCGGGAAGCCTGCTTCTCCCTCTCCCACTCCCCCTGCTTGTGTTCCCTCTCTTGCTGTGTCTCTGTCGAATAAATAAATGAAATCTTTTTTTAAAAAATAAATAAAAATTACTTTGAGGCAGGCACCCTGGGGAGCAACAGCTGAAGGGAGGTGTGACTGATGACCACTGATGGGGCACCTTGCCTGCAAGGTAGGGGCGAGCAGAGGTGCTAGCTTTAGGGACCTTCCGTTTTTGTTCTGGCTCCTCTGAGAGGCGTCTGGAATGACACAAGTGATTTTCATTTTGTCCCTCTTAACCTCTGACCTAGATTATCCTCTGAATAAGCCAGAAAGGACTCCCCAGATTTCTACCTGACTAGGTCCTGATCCACTTTCCCCTTTTCCTCTAGCAGGCATCACTCGGATTTTTTTGCTCCTCGAGGAGTTGGAGAAGAAAATTCAAATACATTTGGCACAAGAGAATACCAAAGCTGAAGGGAACAGAGATAAAGAAAGAAAATGAGGGCAGTGTCCTTTTGCTTAGTTAGGGACTTTGTAATCACACTGAGAATACCGGGGTGGGGGGAGAAAACTAAGTATATAAGGCTCCATAAGTGGGAAGTCAAATAAAATAAAAACTGCCATCGTGAAGAATCCTGTCAGGCAGCTGAACTCAGAAGGCTCATTGAAAGGAGGACAGGTGGAATGGGCCAACTTCCCAAAGAATAAAGGATTAACCATAAAGAAGTGAGCGGTGGGGGACAAGTAAGAGGTGATTTCACACCTTTTCTCTAGAAACCCACTTTCAAAGGTATAGCCATGTTTGATTATGATAGTCATGGGACATTTTAGTTACATAACAGATAAGCCACAAGGCTTTCCTTAGACAGCTGACCCCTAAACAACTTGGGGTTAGGGGTGCTGACGCCCCCCCGCCCTGCTGAAAATCCACATACAACTTTTGACTCCCCCAAAACTTAACTATTAATAGCCTACTGTTGACCACAGGCCTTACCAATAACAATCAGTTCACACATATTTTGCATGCTTCATGTATTATATACTGTATTCTTACAATAAAGCAAGCTAAAGAAGATGTTAAGAAAATCATAAGGAAAATATATTTACAATACTGTAAAAAACAGGGGCACCTGGCTCAGTCAGTTAAGTGTCCGACTCGATTTCAGCTCAGGTCATGATCTCAGGGTTGTGAGGTCGAGCCCCACATCTGGCTCCGTGCTCAGCATGGAGTCTGCTGAAGACTCTCTCCCTCTCCCTCTGCCCCTCCCCCTGCTTACTCTCTCTCTCTCTCACAATAAAATCTTTAAAAAAAAAATACTGTAAAAAAATCCATGACTAAGTGGGTCCCCACAGTTCAAACCCATGTTGTTCAAGGATCAACTATAACTGCTTTTTTTAAACTGTAAGCAGAACCAAACCTAGAGGGGAAGTGCCCCGAAATAGTCAAGTAAACCAGAGGCACGTGCATTACAAAAACACTAAAATTCAACCAGGAAAAACCATGGCCAGAAAAGCATCTACAGCCTTCATGCTAACCTTCTTCTCTTAATCCAAAGTCCTCTGATAAACTCCCCCAGCCACTCCCTGCCCCCCTTGCAAGAAGACACTGGGCAATCCGGTCCCTGCCTTGCTTCATCCGGGTTTCTGGCCGAGCGCACTGGAAACAACACGTGTGTAGACACTGGCCAAAACCAGCTGCCAAAAACAAGGCTCTCCGGATAACGTTCCAGGAGAGCAAAGTGCGCATGTCAAATGACCACGTCAAAGTGACTGAGTGTGTAACATTTAGTTTCCCTCTCACCCAGAAGATGCAAGAGGTACAAGGAGGAGCCAAACCTGACAGAGAGGAAGAAGACAGATCTTTCCCAGTGCGTTACTGATCACATTCTTGCTCTGCAAAATTTCCCTTAGCTCCACCGTGCCTCACTGGTCTCAAAAAGCTCAATGCTTTCTCTCTTCCTCAAGTGACTGGAGCATTTTTTATGCTCCAAAATGCCTCTACTGGTATTTCTGGTCCAGTGAGAAGGCAACAATTGTATACTCTGAACAGTTATATCCAGCAGTCTTGTTTTGTTTTTGTAAATACTTTCTACTTCAGCTTTTCTTTGATTAATTCATAAAACCTCAGGAAAATATGAAGGAAATCTTATGGTAGAGACACAGGTAGAAAGGACATTTGTATTTAAACCCGAAGTGGATATAGTTAGGTCTGAATAAAGAAAAAACAGGCAAAAAAAGAGAAAATTAAATTCTCCTTGAAATATCTTCCATTTTGGGAAGAAGCTCTTTAGTTCAGGTCACAATTTATTTGCATAGAAACAAATGACCATTACAATATTACCTCAGGTGATTTCAAGTTATAGCAACATTTTCATCCTACCCACCTGCAGAGAGCAACCCATCCTAATGTTCTAGTTCCTTGCAATCATTTCTTGCAGAAATACCCTAGGGACACCAGGTGAGCACTATCTTGAGGGCAACTTCAAGCACTATTTGTCTCTGCAACTCTAAGTGC